AAATCATCCATCATGGATGACTTCGGGCTGTCGAGATCCCATGAACTGGTCTTCCTGCTAATGTCCTCCTCCTTACGATCTTCAATGCTGTAGAAAGACACCTTCGTGGCCGGCATGTGCTTTTCATCCAAGGTCAAATCAAGATCTGTTTCTAATGCTAGCTTCTTCACATTTGGATTGACGGCTTCGATCAGAGTGACCTGATTCTCCTTAATTGAAGGACTCCTCTTGGCACGTTTGCCGTCCACCTCTTTGTCGCCATCCTTTCGCGGACGTTTCCGGCGAATGCCACGTTGCCTCTTCAGCGTGAACTCACCCTCAAGATCGTTCAAAGGTGACGTGAAAGCCCAAGACACCGGTGAGGGATCCTCCAGGAGTTGACTGACCGACGAAATGGAGCTGTCGTTGCGCGCCGGCGATTCTTCCTCTATCACCTCCGCGATAGTCTCGTACGTATGATTTGTCATCTTTGAATCTGATCGTTTTTCGCACGACGCCTCCAGAATTTTATTTCTTTCCTCAGCATCACCCAAGAGAATTTCCGCTACCGTTTTACTTCCAAAATTGACTTCCTGCTCTCTGAACATATGTGATTTTTAATTTGGAAAATTTATGTTGTAGCAAATTTTATCTTTTTGTTATTTATATTAACAAATATACACATAATTTCTTAAATGTATATTTTATACATTAATTTTATACGTTAAGATTAATTTATGTCAGTCAAAACTAATAAAAGTAAAACAGCAGGAATAAATAAATCACGTTTGCTCTTTTCTAATTATTTTATTTTTATTATTAAATTATTTTTTAATTATTATCATTCTTACCTGTGAAGCACTTCCGTCACAGTGTTGTCCATATTTTCATACTTCGGCAAATCTTGATCTATAGTAAGACTTGACAATTTTCCGACGAGTGGCGTGTGTCCTTGAGCAATCTTCGGCTTGAAAGGACTAATTGCTTGAGCAAGTTTAGTGTGATAAGGCGTTCGACATCGTGCATGGATCTTCGTGATTTTCGCTAGCTTTGGCAAGTATGGCGTTCTCACTATTTTTGCCTTCTGCTCAACGTTCTGAGAATAGGCGTTCTTGGTCTTTTCACCCAAAGGCATGGAGCCCGCCTCCATCACGTCTTCGGGACTGGTCGCCATCGAGATTTGTTGAAAGAAATCGGAAACATGGGATTGCAAATTCGCTCGCGCCTCATTGACGACATTCTGCGGTAGCTCGTTGTCGCTCTGGAAATTTTTGGTGCAACTGTTCATGAAGAGTGTAGGATCTGTCGGTAGGGTCAGAGCGGTCGAGCACTTGCTACCGGGTGGATAATACATGAGCGGTCCGATGTCGGTGTCCACTCTCGGTGTGCTTTGATAGAAGCTCTCAGACACTGGGGAATTCTCCGTTCCTTGTGACACGGACTGGCGTTTACTTGATCTCAGATGTGGTTTCGTCGCCTAAAAAATGCACCGAGGGATACGTTTTTGGACGAATTTTTTGGACGTGTATAATCAAAAATTTATTTCAATCGCAGCCTTTATTATTATTTTATTATTACATCAGAAGTATTTTTTCAAGTGTTTTATTTATATCACGATGCTTAATTATTTATTATATCATATATTGCTATAAAAAGAAAAGAAAAGTTGAACTTACTGTTACCTGAAAATACGTCCTCAAGTCAGTTCCGTTACTCCTGCATCTTCTCCTCCGAGCCGGCGTTGTTCTGGACGTGTTCGATACATTCTGTGCAGATACCTGCCTAGTTCGACAGCTAGCAGACGTCGGCGGTGTGTTAGATAAATCCCGAAATGGCCGGCGAGCAGGCTTGTTCAAAGTGGGCGGACCGTGGGGTGTCGAACTGGTTGTCGACAACGATCTCGAAACCGTCCACTTCAGCATCTTTAGACGCTAGATGAGAAAAGAATAAGAATGGACATTAAAAAAAGAATTTAAAAAAAATCGTTAACCCGGTAAAAATTTCTCAAAAAATTTTGAAACTATTTAGATTTTCTCGTAAAATGGCTGAATTGCGTTCTAAGTAACTTTTAAATGTCTAACTAAAAAGGTATTTCCAACGTCAAGCATAATTAATTTCTCAGGCTATCCTTACGCATGTGAATTATTGTCCTTTTAATCTTAATATACGTCAAGTGTTCCGGAAACCACAAAGCCAGAGCGATTATTTTCGCCTCGACACGTTACTTAGTGTTCACCGGTTATGACATTTCATTAGAGAGTCCTTCACATTCAATCTAGCTATTTCCTTTGTACAGAGGAAGTGTGAGGGTCGGTCCGAGCTGTCATTAATCTACAACGAACGCGTACGGTGTATGTAAAACATATGGGAATCCACGTGAATGGGAAACCGTCGTTGGGTTTCGCTACGTCTCGATAAGGTCGACATCTCGTCAGATCCGCCCTATCGGCCTTCCGGCCGAAAGCGAAGTGATCGCTTGCGTCTAATTACGTAGAGAGAAACGTGTTCACGACACGATACACAAAACGCGACAGGAAACCTCGCGATGAAATCGAAGAGAAGGGAAGAGAGATAGCGACGCGCACCTGTCGCGACATACGGGAAATAGCGAAACAGGTGAAAGCCGCCTTACACCTGAGAGACGGTTTTACGAGTTAGCACTTGCCTAGGCACTGTGCTTAACGATCCCTTAAACGGCCCCTAAAACCGTGAGTGCCGATGAGCCCTTTCTCTCTTTCGCTCCCCGGAGCGTAATTTCGTAAGCGAGAAGAATCGAGCGCGGGGCACGACGGGTGAGAAAAAAAGGACGTGGTCAAGCGTACAAGCTGAATTATTGTTTTGTTTCGGTCCTGCGGTTGTTGCTGCTGCGCATGCAGCCGCTGACTCGCGAAATTGCTGATCCGATTAACCCGCATGAGCGCAGGTTCACCAGCGAAGTTGCTCGATTGAATCGAGGCCCTTCTTTTGAGCGCTATATTCAACCTAACTTGTTTGTTCCTAAACTGGATAGCCAATACTTTTGTAAAACATTGAAGTTTCATTCAATTCTTTGCCGGTTTTTGTGAAAATATTAAGATTTTAATTATTTTTGAGTTATCCCAATTAATCTTTACTTTAGAAGAGTTTTCTTACATTTTGTACGTAGGAATTTTACTTGTAGTAGGATATTCTAAAAGTATTATTCACTTTTAATTCTTGGATTCTTTTATTAGTTTAGAATAAATTATCGGTACGTTAAAGTAATTTTAAAATATCAAATATCGATATCTAAAAAAAAAAATACTGTAATCTTAATAAAATTAAAGAATAAAATTAATTGACTGAAATAAATATTCTTGACGTCATACAAATCGCGCGCCATTATCTCGAGTCGTAAAATTTATTTTTAGAAAGTCCTCGTCGGATCGCATAGACTGTCTTCGATTTCAAATAGATATTAAATAGAATCTTCATTTAAGATCGAAAGGAAGCGCGACAGGAATATCTTACGCATTTGAAAGATCCCGATCTTGATCTTGACCCTGAGGAAACTCTCTGAAAAGTCGCGCGGTTAAAATCACGTCCGAAGGGCAGCGTGTAAAAGCAATGGCAGCGGCACTAGCAGCAGTAGCAGCAGGTTTTCATTTTTAACGGTTCGCCGAGGGGGGGTGCGGCGCATTGTACTAGCTAGGTATAAAAATGCATTCATTTGCATACAGGCTGTTGCCATGCTACTCGCACGCGCGCGCGCGCGCGCGCGAGCGGACATTCTCTCCTGTCCTGCACTTTTTCGCGTGCATTCGCATGTGCGTGCTTCTCGAAGACCATATCCACACATGTATACGTGGATGTCTGTCTGTCGCGACAGTACCACTACCACCATCACTACCGGCCTACGCGTACGTAAAAACGGTCTCGGCACCTGCCCATATGGTGGTGAAACGCGCGGTGTGGGTCCCCATCTGGTATCGCACAGCCTAGTGTTAGGTGGAACCCCGATGTCGATACATGACGAAGATGATGGTTATCTGACATCTTAGGAGGATTTCTCCAACGTACTTCTTTGGAAGAGGAGTCGCGAAGGGCACGTGCCATCACATTTCTTTCGTAGAGAAGAATATATATGAAATATGAAATACTTGTTATTAATTATTAAAAATTTGACATTTAAAAATTTTAAGCATCATACTTATACATATGTATATTTGATGTGCATGTATTTTCGTCACGGAAAATTGATTCGATATAATTATTAATATGATATTTATATTTATTATTATATTTAATTGTATTCTTCTAAAAATGTTCTAAAATGTTTTTTTAACTGTCAAAGATATTTTTTAATTTAACATTAAACTGAACATAGAAACTCAAATTTCATTGACGTATAAAAAATTCTTTTATTTAATCTTTAAAATTATTTTTATTCCAATTGTAAAAAAAATTGATTCTTTCTTAGATTAAAAAAAAATTTATAAAAGCAAAACCACCACTTCCTAACGAATTTCTGGAGGTTTTAAGCGATACATGGTCTCTTTCAACGTTCGTAAGTGGCGAATCGTGCTAGACGAAATGACATGCGGAATATCTAAAACCTTCAGAATGTTCGTCCTCTCGGATGAGTGAGTACGAGTAACAGCGACGAAAGGCATTTGTCTGCATAATTAGACGCTAGTTCGTCATTCGAAATAAACGGGGTACGACAGTCAGACTTCACCTGCAATAAGGTATTGTTTCCGTCTGTTTCCGGTTTGCAACTATACGATATATTATAGTGCACACTAAATTGTATACCTAGCGTTCTACTGTTTATACGTTTGAATGGGAGACTTCGCGCATATTACGTGTCATTTTCCATAGAAATATAAAGACGGTAACATGAATTGCGGACTTGACTAAAAAACTTGACTAAATTATAAAAAGTACCTTTTCATTGAAAAAGGCTTCCATCATCATTGTGCCTCTCACTATCTTAAATTATTATGACAAAGGATAAGAACTTCGTTTATTCAGGAAAAGACTATTATTGCATATAATTTTTATTAGAATGTTCCGTATAAGTTGACATTTTTTTAAAAATAAAATTTTGTTTTAATATCAACAAGTATTTATAATAAAAGATATTGAAAAACTGATACAATTTAACAAATGACAGTATTTATAATATTAAATTATCTAAAAATTATTATTCTCGCAATTACTATTCTCGAAATTATTATCGCGATAGAAAAATCCTTAAAGAAAAGTCAACAGATAAGTCCATTCTAATTTGATCATACGTCACCTGTATGTAAAACCCTTTGAGGTCCTCACTGTGACTACGATAGGCTTGATTAGAATGCCCATGGAGTTCTATTAAGCAGAGCCCAGGGGTCCGTCGTCATAATTATGAAAGCGCAATAAATCTTAGGGCCCGTAGCATATGTTGTATATATACGATATAAATATAGAAAGGGGGACCACTTTGTGGTCCACCTGTGAATATTATCGTTCCATCTAATCTTCGATATGCTTCGCGAATAAACGATTGCTACGAAAGATGAATGCTTTTTGTATTTTTGTCTCGGTAACGGAGAAAAACAAGTGCAAGATGCAAGAGAATGCTTCAAAGATTTCAAAACAACAACAATTTTATTGATTTAATAAATAAATATGACATATATAACAAATATAACACGTAAATATGACAAATATGATACTCACAAAAAGATTATGTGCATTTAATATATTTCAGCACGTATTTATTTAAAATATTAATAGAGATTTAAAAAATTATGTTTTTTTTTTTTTAATTTTAATTTTCCTATAACAATAGGAATACAATATACGTCTATATAATTTTTTGCAGATATTTATAAGAGATAATTAATCCTTTTTTATACGAATATTTATTATAAACAATCAGCAAATAAATTGAAAAAGACATTTTTTAAAAAAATTAACAAAATAAACTTATAACTGATTTACAATTACATCGAATATTATTAGTGCTAGTAATATTATTAGTCTCATCAATAAAATCCGATTCGGATTGCCCAAGGGCGAATTCTGTTTCCTTTCGTCCGTCAATTAGGGTATATGTCATATATTTCAATGTCGAGAAACAGAGACAAGTGTACAAAGCGCTAAAGACACTGAATTGTTCCGCGGCTTCTCAATTCCCCATATATGCGCCCCTTTTATGGGTCTATAAGGTGTTCGCACGAGGTGAGTCGCGTCGTTTGAGGTCACGTTGCGAATGCAAGAATGGTCCCCACGACGAGCGGCCCGGAATAACAACATCGGGGCCTTATACCCGTCCCGTGAGTCCCGACCCCGCTTCTATTCCCGCAAGACGCAAGGCAGGATCGACCTCGTTCCTGTATGCCACGGAAAATGAATAAAATAGAACGACGGTTGAAACTTTGACATGCTTGCAAGCATGGTCGACAAGGACCCTCGTCCATAATGTATATTATAAAAACTGTTTTTAATAAGAAAGAAGTAGTGAGATTGAAAGAAGTAAACGAGATTGATTAAGGAATGGATCTTGCTTGTGTTTTTCTAGCGGACCTTTCGGGAAAACTTATTTGCAAATTCTCCATCTGCCACGTAAAGCTCAAACTCTGCAACCTACATAACATCTGTATAATTATTAACATTATGTGTCTAAAATAAAATTCAAATTAATATCAACACTCTTATTAAAATTTTCTTTAATGCTTCTTTTTTTATAGTTTTTAACATAAATTTTATTAAAGTTTGTGTATCATGTTTAAATGAGTAATTAAATATTATTTTTTATTTAAATTTTTTTACTTATTAAAAATGTGTATTTAAAAATAAACTTTGACAAAATTTGAATTCAGATCTCTTTAGATCATTTTTCTCTAAAAAATTTATTCCGTTCTTTCATCTATAAATCGATAAAAAATGGATATATCTAGAACATTTTATACTGCTTTCAAATGAA